ACCCATGTCCTTTTGCCACAACTGATTTTTACCTAGCCAAGCCTCAAATTGCTCAATAACTTCTCTGAATGGGATAGCCGTATCATGCCAAACCCTGCAAGAGTGTATGAACATGGAAATCAGAACATCAAACATCATCCCGGATTTAGAGATTGCATGAAGGCATGACACGATGACTCGCACCATAATATAGAGGAGAGACAGAGGAATCTCTATCTTCATCTTTGGATTCGAAATTTTAAACATTTTGGATAAGTTGGAGACTTCCTATCATTCAGATGAGTTAAATCTAGCATCTCAGCTCACAAAATGCTATTTTAAGTAAAACACATCCTGTCTTGAGGGTTTGGCAGAGCAATTGGGAGTTCTTGAGTAGAGTTCAAAACTCTAATGTAAAGAACCTACAAATTGTAGCAATTACAGTAATTTTTAGGAACCTGTGTTTTGTTTTTTTGGACCAAAATGCTTAAATGCAAACAAAAAAAATCTTTATCACTTTGCACAAGGCTTAAAAAATTTTAACGATATATAATGTTTATCAAACAGTTATCCGAACACTTGATCAAAACACTTGAAAGCACACTGTTCCAAACTACTAAGTACATTTTTCTTTTTGAAAAAATGGTATTATGGGACACAACAAACAATGCTTAAGGCTTTAAAATCTCTTACCAAAACACCATGTAAGCAACAATACATGTTTCCTGCCTCCTATCTCAAACTTGATAAGAATTAAACTTATTACCTTCATTTTGTACGGCTACAAACAAAATACTTTGATAACTAGAAAGTAAACAAACACACATTTATGAAAAGGGTACTCAATCTTGTGATAGGTAGAGACCATACCATACCTGTCAACTCCAAATTTTCCATATTTGCCTTCTATATACTCACTTATTCTCTGCTCACTCATTTTTGAGGGCCTAACAAACCTGTAGAAGTATTTGTAAAATAAAAGAATTAATAAAAAAAAGAGCAAGTGATTGTAAATTTATTCTCTCTGCATGCAAATATCTTGACATTAAACAAACACAGCTGGTATGGAAACACTTTGTTGTGGACAATTGCTAACATTCCATGTAAAATTTAATGCATTGACATTCATATGTCCTGCTAGGATAAGTTACAACTTGGGATATCACCCTTCCACAAAGAGGAGTTTTAGTCAAGTAGCTCAAACCACTAAATGTTGGTCTGCGTTTTATATGTGTCCTATATGATATGATGTAACATTCTGGGTAATTCAATTGTTCCGTAAGTAATTTGATGGATGTAGCTTACATTCTCAGTTGCCTTAGAGACTGCTTTTGAAACTTTTCAAAGTATAGAAAGTAGTAGTTAAGTAATCGTATTTTTAGTATTATGGATTTCTCTTTTTCTATTATGCTAGGACATGGCCACAAGGCAAAACCCAAGCTCACCGCCAACCGAGGACATGAGCTTACTTAGATAGGAAATTTTGGCAGTGGGGGATTAAGATAGATGGGCAGTTAGTTTAGTTTTTTTTCTCTTTTGCTCTGCTTTGAGAGGTAGGGGTTAGACCTTCCATCTCATTCTTGTGTGTTTAGTACTTTTCTAGGGCACACGTTTATTTTTGGTGTACTAGAGTGTGCTGCCTCTTTTTACGTGCTAGCTAATTTTGTTTATCTACTCCCTCCATATGTTAATAAACTTCCTGTTTGCTTTTCGAAGGTGAGAACTTTTTAAGTTGAACTTTCAATAATTCATAAACTATACTCCCTTCATCTAAAATCATTTTCCCACTTTCCTTTTTTGGACATCCCAAAATAATCTTCTCATTCCTTTTAAGGGTAGAAATATGTGGTTAATACACTTTTAGTCTCATGTGCACAAACTTTAACCACACAATTTCACTGGTTTAAACACAATGAGACTCACATGGAAAGTTAATTTTGAACGGATGGAGTATTATTTTATAATACAAAAATAATCTTGACAAATTTGTGCTTGTTTATACTTTTCTAAATACTCTTTCTGTCCCAAAAAGATTTTCCCACCGCATATGAATTTATCTTTAATTCAATTTATATGGAAAATAGGGTAAAATTAAAAAATAAAATTTTATACTCAAAACTACAACAAAAGGTCTACAAAACAAGAAGTGACAACAATATATTATTTTATAGAATGAGTAAATCGTTGTGGGACGGAGGAAGTATTATTCTATCATACTATTTAGCATTATAATAAAAAAAATTGAATACGGTCAAAGATGAGTGTTGGAGACTGTAAAAAAGCAAATGTAAAGTTTATTTAGGGACAAAGAGAGTATCATATTTTATTTATTACTGACTAGCCATCGTATTTTAATTTCATTCCTTTGAGTTGAGGGTCTATCGAAAACAACATCTCTTCCTCAAATTCGTGGAGGTAAATCTGCGTAGATTTTAATCACACCAGAACCCACTTGTGGGATTACACTGGGTTTGTTGTTGCTCTATGGTTTTTGATTATCATGGGTTTAGGCCAAATTTTCAATTCCAAATGAATTTAAGCCCTTTATGGCCCTCTACAAGCATTGCAAGACCATCTCCAATCCATAAAACCAAACTCAAATCTAAAATGCAATACAAATTTCAAATGTAGTAATACATCTCCGACCAATTACACCAAAATCAAATTCAAACCACAATATACTTATTTTTTCATTACTTTTTTTCATACTTTTATTACACTAAATCCATTGCGCTAAACTCAAACTCAAAATAATATTGTTACAGCATATTAATTTTCTCACTTTTTTTATACTTTCCAATTTAAAAAATTGAAATAAGGTGAATAAAAAATTACTAAGTTATAAATAAGGCGAATAACTCTGCCTATGTAACTACGGTACATAGCCGGTCCCAAGCCCGGATAAAAGAGGAGGGTTGTGTTAGGTCTCGGAACCAACGTAAAACCTTGCCGAATCTTCATGACATGGATGAAATACGATCTTGCGCTAAAGCTAGGTCGTTGCCTAGAAGCAACACGCTATATGGGTCGAGTACAGTGACAAATGAGCTAGGGCCGCTGCATCGTTGCCCGGGTGTAGTGAAAAATAAGCAAGGGTTCTCACATTTAGGTGAACGGACGTGGGTAAATAAGCTAGTTCGAAAAGGTAAAGGTAAAGGTCAAGATAGGTTGCGGTTTGGGACATGGAACATAGGCACTTTGACAGGTAAGTCTATGGAGTTGGTGGATACTATGACACGGAGAAGGATTAATATTATGTGGTTACAGGAAACAAAGTGGGTGGGAGCAAAGGCTAAGGATTTGGACACTTCAGGCTTCAAGCTATGGTATACAGGAAAGGTGAAGAACAGAAATGGAGTTGGTATCATTGTAGATAAACAATGGAAGAAGGATGTGGTTGGTGTTCAGAGGGTGGGAGATTGGATCATTGTATTAAAGTTGGTAGTGGAAGGACATGCTCTTCATGTGGTTAGTGCCTACGCACCACAAGTCGGTTCCGAAGAACACCACAAAATAAGGCTTGGGAAGACCTCGAAGGTGTAATACAAGGTATACCATTAGGAGATAAGATTTTCTTAGGATGAGATTTAAACGCACACATGGGCAAGGATGGAAGTGAGTATGAACAAAACCATGGAGGGCATGGCTTTGGGGTAACGAATGCAGGAGGTAAAACCATCTTAGATTTCTCTTCGACCTCCCAGCTTCTTATTGCAAACACTTGTTTTCAGAAGCTAGACGAGCATCTTATAACTTATAAGAGTGGGATCTTATAAGAGTGGGATGGCATGCTCTTAAATCAATTTCTTTCTGCTAAGGAAATCGGATCGAAAATTTTGTACTAATTGCAAAATTATTCTGGGAGAGAGTTTGACCACCTAACATAGAGTACTAGTTATGGACTTTCGTATCCAACAAAAGGTAAAGAGAAGTCGCCAAGAGGGGAACCTAAGGACTAGATGGTGGCAGTTGAAGGGTGATAAGCAAATGGATTTCCAAAGCTGTTTAGTAGAAGAGGCAAAATGGGATAGACATGGAACTGCGGAAGACTTATGGTATGATATGGAAAATATTATTAGAAAGGTGGCAAGAGAAACCCTTCGAAAGGTTTAGGAGGAAAAGGCATTTGGTGGCTAACTAAGCTTTTTAACGAGATTTTAAGATCTAAGAAAATGCCTAACGAATGGAGGAAGAGAATTTTGGTTCCTATTTACAAGAATAAGGGAGATATTCAAAGTTGTGGAAACTACAGAGGGATCAAACTTATGAGTCATACGATGAATTTATAGGAAAGAGTGGTTGAACGGAGGGTGAGAGAAGAGACTTCGGTGTTAGAGAACCAATTTAGTTTTATGCCAGGAAGATCGACTACAGAGGCTATATACTTGGTGAGACGAATGATGGAGAGGTACTGAAGTGAAAAGAAAGATCTACACATGGTTTTTATTGATTTGGAAAAGGCATATAACGGGGTACCAAGAGGTTTTGTGGAAGGTGCTAGAGAAAAAAAGAGTAAGGATTGCTTATATTCGTGCGATTAAGGAAATGTACGAGGGGACTACAACGAGCATGAGAAGTCAAGCTGGGATAACAGGGGAATTCCCCATCGGGGTAGGATTACACCAAGGGTCATCGTTAAGCCCATATCTTTTTACACTAGTATTGGACGTTCTTACTGAGCATATCCAAGAATCCGTATCATGGTGCATGCTTTTTGCCGATGACATCATCCTTATGAGCGAATCACGAGAGGATTTGAATGAGAAGTTGGATTCGTGGAGACAGGCTTAGAGTTGCATGGCTTGCGTATAAGTCGCACTAAAACACAGTATATGGGGTGCAAGTTTGGCAACAGAAGGAGAGATAGTAACATCGAGGTGAAAGTTGGAGAAACTACTATACAACAAGTAAAGAGATTGAAATATCTTGAGTGTATCATTCAAGACAATGGAGAAATGGAGGATGATGTTAATCACAGGATTCAAGCAGGTTGGTCAAAATGGCAGAGTGCTTCGGGCTTGACAGAAAAGTACCTTTAAAACTAAAGGGAAAATTTTACCGTAGTGCTACTAGACCAGCTATATTGTATGGGACAGAGTGTTGGGCAGCAAAGGGTGAACATGAACACAAGGTTAGTGTGAAAGAAATGAAGATGCTTTGTTGGTTGAGTGATCATACGCGTATGGATAGAATAAGGAATGAAGATATGAGAGCTAAAGTTGGAGTGGCACCTATTGTAGGAAAAATAGTGGAAACTCGTCTTAGGTGGTTTGGACATGTGGAGAGAAGACCAATAGAGCATCCCGTGAGAAGGGTTGATCAAATAGTGAATATGCATGTGGCTGGAGGAAGAGGTAGACCTAAGAGGACTTGGCAAGCATTGATCAAGGGAGACCTTCGCATGAACAATCTCACAGCTGATATGATACACGATAGGGCGCAATGGCGCCGTTTGATTCATGTAGCCGACCCCACCTAGTGGGATAAGGTTTTGTTGTTATTGTTGTAGTTGTATAAATAAGGCGAATAAAAAGCATACAAATTGAAATAAGCTAGAAAACATAAAAACAAAAGGCTTGAACAAAAACAAGAAAAAAAATGGAAAAAGAAATGCAGTAAGGAGCAATACAAACGCATATATGCGCTGAAAGAGGGAAGAGAGGGTAGAAAAACCCAAAATTGTTTTGGTTTGCGCGTAGGTTGGAGAAGTGAAACTGTAAAATAGCAGCTTTGGTGCATCAATGGAGACGCCCTAATAGTATTTGAATTAAGGAAGTGGGAAATTAAAAAGCATTACATTAAAATTCGTTTATTATTCTAACATGAAAAAGGAAATATGGCATACAAAAGCTACAATAGAAATTTTAAGGTTTAGCTCTCCGCTAATAATTTGTATCTTACGGAGTACCTTTTTTGAAAGTTTTCCTGTATCATGCAATAGTTCGATGTGTATATTGAAACAAATGTAAAGATCTCAAACCTAAATACTATGAAGTAAAAGTTAAGAAAAAAGAAATCACCTATGAAAGAAATCAATAACATCCATGGTTTTTGTGTCAAACAGCAGTACCGGAAATTCAAGAATTTCAACTTTCCCTTCCAAATCAAGCACAAGAAGAAACTCTAAACCCTGTTGCCTCAAATTCCCCGATCGCGAAGCATTGGACTCTACCTTCCCAGCGATGGAGAAGTTGTGACTGAACCTCTCAGTATGTATTTCATCATCCATCTAAACTAACGCCATAAAATTAACAAAACAAATTGTAGAAGTTTGGCAAGTGAAAATTAATTGCTCTATTACAAGTACAGTAGGAGGAGGAGAATTATTACCTTAGCGCACTTACCCTGAGTGAAGTACAAACACATAGGCTTCCACCGACTGTTCTTCCGCGGAGGTGCCGCGGAAATCAGTGAGGAAGAAGACTCGGCCGCCACAGAATGCGCGGGAGAGACGTTCATGTTGCGGGTGCGTTGGAGTTCTGAAGAGAAATAGGAGGATGAAGATGTAACTCGAACCGGCGCAAAAATTAACGGGTGCGGGCGAAACCCACAGACCCTCCAGAGAGCCATTTCCCGTTAAACGAAGGATCAGGTTGACCTTATATTCTTGTACGATTTAAAAAAATACATTGTATTCCATCAGTCCCAATTTTAATTTCACGTTGACACCGGAGTAGTCTAACTGGCATTTTAGAATACTTCCGGTGCTCCGTTCAAAAAATTGACGATTCCTACCTACCTAATTTACCCACTAAACCCCAACCCTACCCCCGCCTCTGCACCCCCACCCCAACCCCGTCGTAAGCCCCCCACATAGTGTGTGACTATTATGCGTTGACGGTTCCTACCCTCCTAATTCACCCCCTAAACCCCAACCAATTCCCGTTAACCATCAATTTTGCAAACGGAGCATCGGAGGTGCTCCAAAAACGCAGTGGCACCGCTAGTGGCACTGTACTCTGGTGTCACTAGAACCCCACGGTTTAATCAGTTTATTTTAGTTTACGTTGTTTGATAGAAATTAATTTTAAATTATTTTATATGAGAAATAGTGTATGATTAAACAATAAAAATTACGGAGTACATAGAAGGCATATTTACCTTTTTGAAACATACCTCAATTTAGAAATAATTCCCGTTCAGTGAAGGAAAAAAAGCATTCCCGTTCAGTGCTGTCAGAGGGAAAAAGAGTCGAATGGTATAGGCTGTACCGTTAAATTAAAATAAATTAATTTCGGTCAGATAAACAGGCCTTAACGGTACTGGTTGTACCATTATACTTAAAAAAAATCTTAATGGATGGATGACCATCCATATTCTATCCAAAACCCAACCCCTCCCTCCCATTTTCGAAGAACCAGCAGGCGCCCTTCCTCTTCAACCTCGCTGCCGTCGCCAACCACCAACACCCCAACGTCGTCGTCCGTCGCCGTCGCACGCTGTCCAACCGTCGCCATCTCGGGTTAACGGTACAAACGGTACCGTTTTTCCTAATTTAATTCCTAAAATTTCTAATTTAAAGTTATATTTGGTAATTAAAATGTTTATGAGATATGTTTGTGATTAGATCAAGGATGAGAAAATAAAAAATTGAAATGTTGATAATTTAGAAAATTGAAAATTTAGATTAGATCTATGTTGAGAATTTGAAAATTTTTTATGTTTATGAGATATCCGAATCTTTTGTGTGATATATTTGAGAATTTTTTATAGTGCATTACATACTTTTGATTTCTCGTATTCATAAAATAAAAATTTTAATTTCGCAGAATAATGAATTTTCAAAGAACGGAGGTCCATCCGGGACCAATTGTTTCTGATGTACTAGTCTTGGCACCCGGCGAACATCGTTGTAATAGGGTGTGGCAAGACAGTGGGTTTGGGGACGTACCGGTGAAGTGTGTGAAATTTTTTGGTAGCTTGAGGGAAGGGTTTGGTGTGGAGCGTCATCCACGAGTTGTGGCGATATTGCGTGAATATGGATTTTACGGGGTAGAAAGGATTGCTATGTTACAAATAGATTGGGCTTTGATTACTGCCTTAGTGGAGAGGTGGAGGTCGGAGACGCATGCCATTCATCTTCCGTTTGGAGAGGTTGTGATCACATTACAGGATGTAGAGGTCCTACTTGGTCTCCCCGTAGATGGCATCCCGGTTGTTGGTTCGCGTGGCAACACGAAAGAGTATTAGGTGCAATTGTGTTCAGATATGATGGGGTTTAGGCCATCTTTAGAGGACGTGACCAACACACAGATCAAAATGAATGCGATCGTTCTCAATCCTGTAAGTGATCATTGCCCGGAGGTTGACTTTCGGCAGCATGCTCAGGCATTGATGTTGAAGATTATGGGTGGTGCTCTGTTTGCTAGCACGACGGATAACAAGGTGAACTTGTGCCTTTTGGAGTTGCTCGTTGGCACCGCGCAAGAAGTGCGAAGTCACGCTATAGGCTCCGCGGCATTGGCTTGCCTTTACAATTTTTGTGTCGTATAAGAAATGTTGGTTGGCTAAGTCGAATGCCATTCAACGATTGTACGGATCTTGGGAGGATTCGTATAACAAGTTATTACCTCTATTAGGAGCGTTGATTCAAAGCAATCATGGGTCAGTGGCCGAAATACAAATGCGGCCAACAACAACGCCAAAAACCTTTCAGTTCATGTACGTTTTCTGGTCTTTCAAAACGTCTATAGATGGGTTCAAGTATTGTTTTCCCGTGATCTCTGTTGATGGCACCCACTTGTATGGGAAGTATAAGGAGGGGGTGTTGTTGTTGGCAATAACAATGACAACAAATCACGAGATTTACCACTTAGCTTATTCCCTTGTTGACAAAGAAGACGGGGATAGTTGGAGTTGGTTCATGATTGTTAGAATAATAGACCAACGCTAGAGGGGGGGTGAATAGCGTATGATCGTAGAAATTGCTGGAATTAAAAAATTAAAAGAGAAGTAAAGAGAAGAGTAAGAGGCACACCGAATTTTACCCTGGTTCACCACAACTTGTGGCTAATCCATCCTTCCGAGAGACTCTCTCGAGCTACACTACTATCTCGTTAAGCTTTCGGGTGCTTAACAAACCGTTACAACTTGAGAGTTCGAGTTACACGAACCTCAACGAGTCCTTCAAAGGAAACAGCCCTTCCTTTGAATCTACCGAGAGAAATACTTTCTCTCAAAGTGTCTAAGAACACGAATACACTCAAGAACGAGGCTCTCTTATAGAGTAGATTATGAGTAAACTAAGTACGCTCAAGAACAACTCAACCTTCACACAAAATGGCTCTAGAAAGCTATGGAAAATGATGATATTTGAATGCAATGAAAGTATGAATGTTGTGAAGTGAATTGGTGAGAAAAGCAGACCCAAACACCCCTTTTTATAGTGCAAAAATAGGCTCCAACGGACCAATGCATTAAAGAGGTGATTGGCTTGATTTATGGGATTGAAAAGATTTGGGATCTGCAGGATATTAGCTTCCCAGCGATGTATGGACCTTACCCATCGCTGGTAGGCCAATTTTCCTTCAGTTTTGAAGCCAACGGTCACCTACCCATCGATGGGTACATGCTTCCCATCGCTGGGTGGGAGGTTGACTTCCAAACATGGAAAGAATCAACCTTAAATGACTTACAACGGTCATGCCTTCCCATCGATGGTTAAGCCTTCCCATCGCTGGGTTCCCATCGATGGGTAAAGCTTCCCATCGCTGGGTAAGGGCATTCTGCCTTGTGATAATGTTGAACCAAGGCTTTAACAGCGATGGGTAGAACTCCTCATCGCTGTTTGGCATGGTTCTGGAAATTGGTTTGGCTTAGGGACCGCTTACCCATCGATGGGAAGATCTTCGCATCGCTGGGTGGGTGGTTTGCCAAAACCCCATGGTCTTTGCCTTAACCACGGCCTAGCAAACCAATGCAAAAACCGACCGAAAAATTCAAAGTTCTCCAAAATAAAAACCAAGTGTTTGAAACACTTATTTGATGTATTTGGCTAAGAAATCAAGTGAGTTACTTTAAAAAACCACGTCAAACGACTAAAAGCGAAAGATGGTTTTCAAAGTGTTTTTGTTGGAGAACCGTTTAAACAAGCCAAAGAGTGAAAGAAGATCATAAAATGCATAAAACCACTTGGTTGGTTCGGATGCCAAAAACCAAAGCCGATAACCGAAAGCCGAACACTGGTTTCTGAAAGCCGAACACTGGATGGCTTGGTTTTTGGTTTGGGCGAACACCAAGTGTTTTTAATGACTTAAACAAGTTTGAAAAACATTTTTATGATGTAAGAAATGCAATGAAAGATTTTAGCCTAAGGAGTCAAGGTGTAAAGATTGGGTCGGTCTTGATCACAGTAAAGACCAACTCAATACTATGACTAAGGTCTTCGTTCTTGGTCTTCATTTAGCTCTTGCTCTTACCTTCGTTCTTCGCCTTGTATATTCAATGTTCGACTTGATCACGGCGGTTTGACATTATCAAAACCTGTTACAAAAACGAACACGGCTTTAGTACGAAAACGTGACAAGCCCGTGTTTCAACAATTTCCCCCTTTTTGATAATGGCAAACAAGACGAGGTTATGCATAGGAGGATTATTTTGAAAAAAAATGTTCCCCCTTAATAGATGCCATTTTACAAAGTAAAAAAAAAATTCCCCTCAATTTATGCATAACCTTAATATCTTCCCCCTTTTGACATTAACAAAAAGAATTAAAAGTAAACTTTAGAGTATTAAAAGTAAACTTTTATTCATTAAAAAAGGGAAATGCGGAATACAACAGAATGGAAAAAAATACAATCATAGTAAGAAGAGAAAAGAAGAGTCTAGGCATCGGCGTCCTCGTCGTCCTCGACGTCCATGGGATCGTCGTCGACCGCATCTTCAAAGTCGGCTTCGTCGGGGGAGGAGGACGGAGCATAGGAGTTATCCTCTTCGTCCTCGCCTTCATAGTTTTTGCCAAGGAAGGTGGTGTCAAAGGGCGGCGGGACGTAGTTGATGCCGCGGAAGAACGCCGTCATGTCGTGGTGTTGGCGTTGCAACGTCCAGTCCATCCGCTCAATTGACTGCCCCATGCCATCCACTGTGAGGGTTAGCCGATTCAGAGTATCGGCTATGGATTGCAAAGAGGCCTTGGCGGGAGCGGGGGCTGTTGCACGACTTGGGCCTGCGCCGTCCCGGTCTCCGGACTTCTTCCGGAAGGTGCTGTCTTGAATGATTCAAATCTTCGTCATCTTCGTATCCGGGCCGGCGATGGAGATGTCGGCGGAGATGATGAGGTGCATGACGAGGAAGGCGTATGGCAAGCTCCGCTCAGTGGCGATGGAGGCGCAATCCGCCATGTGGATCATCACGAATTTCGCCCAATTGATGGAGGCGCCGTGGATGATGGCGTGAATCGCCTTCAAGTCCTCGTTGAAGAGCGAGGTATGGCTGCTATCCCGGGGGCGGAGAATCTGGGTGATGATGTAGAGGAGGAGGCGCTTGTCCGGTGGGGCCGAGTGGATCATCGGCGCGCCGCTGTGGCGGATCAAGTTAGTGATCCCAAGCTCACGAATGACTACCGCCTCGTTGTTGAGGATCCAATTGTCGCCACCATAAGTCGCGATGTCGTCACCGCGGATGGGCAGCCCTGTGACCCGAGCAAAGGTAGGCAAATCAATCTCTATGTCGTAAAGATTGATGCTGCTGCGTATGGTGTCCCCGTCACGGCGGAGATTAGAGTAGAAGGCCCGGACGAAGGTGGGATTGAAGCTCGAGCGGCTCTTGGAGACGAATGGCCACAAACCCGACGCTTGGAGTTGGTTGTCGAGGTCGTGGTACCCTTTGTCTTGGGGAAACAACTCCGGGAGCACGTGAGGCGGAGAGATCGGACGCTTGGCGAAGTGAGTGAGGAAGCTTGTGAGTTCTTCTTCCGACCCGAACTCTAATAAGGATTCGTCCAGGTACGGGAAAGGTTGAGGCGCAGAGCTCGTAGCCTCGGTGGTGACCTTCTTCTTCAAAGCTTTTGTCTTCTTTCCTCCGGCCATGGTTGTGGCGTGTTTGCAAAAAATGAAGGAGTTGAGTAAAAAAAGACTTAAGCAAGGCAATTTGAGAAGATAAAAGTGTTGTATTTAGGTGCCCTAGCGGCAATCAAATACCTATGTAACTGTACACTTTATCATGAATGAAAGGCCTTGAAGTATGTTTTATATCTCGTGTAACATAACATAGCTTCAGTCCATAGACGATAGCGCTTCAGTAACATAGATGAGGGCTACGATGTTCTGATTATGAGACTGTTACTTCTTGACGAAGGCTATGTCAAGAATATCCCTAGTCGCACTTTATGATAATACGGACGTCATAACGTATCAAGACTAGTACGTACGAGATGAGATAGTTGCGTCTCATAGACTATAGGTATTGTGATATCTTAATTTGTACGTAGGTGCATATTATATCGATAATATGTGACTGGATTGACCCATCTTGAGAATACTGCATGGATCTACAGTAATGTGTTTATCAGTATTCTCAAATCGACCTTGCTATAACTATCCTCAGCCTTGAAGTTATTACATTCTCTGATATGTGGGGCCGTATGCTTTGATTCATAACTAATGCTATCTGAAATACTGGTAGACGTACAGTTATGCGTTGGGTATGCCGCTAAGCATATTTAGAGATGTGAATAACAGATACAGGATCTGTCCCTTCTACTGTATAGAAGTATAATGTCAATGGGCCCACTGAATAGTAGGACTTGGGAAAGTGCATGGCCATGCCCAGATATGTCGCTATCTAGAGAATGATAAATATCTGATCCCTGCCAGTCTACTTGAGATTCAGTAACAGTTGATTTAACTATACAAGGATACACATCCCATGCCTTGTGTTAAATCATGACATTTAGGACAGAAGGATAATAGTTATAGAACGTCTTGTGTCGTAGAAGGTATTGATGAGATGAACGTCTTTTTCATAATCTGGGGATAATAATGTGTTGCTAGATACCGCTTATTATCTATGGTATTAATTTTATTAATATCATTGCCAGTGTTATGGATACCTAAAGGGTCACACACTTAGGACTTGTAAGGGAGTAGTATACTACTCTAATGGGAGTAATATTAAATATATAGTTGTGATAATTTTATATATATATGTATTTCAAAAATACATATGTATTTTAAAATTATATTTTGTTTGTGTCATTTTAATTATATGATAATTTAATTTTGACAAAACAAATTTTATTATATATATATATATATATTACTTTTATTTTCATCATTTTAATTATATGATAATTATTGATGTCAAAATAAAATGTAATGCATTTTAATATGAGATGGCCAAAAATATCAAAGGGAAAAATACAAGACATAAATTGATTTTCTACCTAATGATATATTTGATTGATATAATCAAATATTTGATTAACAAAAGGATATTTGTCTTGTTGTGTTGGTTGGAGACATTGCACTAATCTTTATTTGTTTTTGTTCCTAATGAATTTCCTAGAATTCTTTTAAAGTAGTGTTTTATAAATAAGATGTATCCCTCCCCTCTTTTAAAACTACAACTATTCGGCCATCACAAGGAAGAGAGAAGAAAAATCCTATTTTGTGTTCAAAGTTATTTTTCTAAAGTGTTAGAAATATACACAAAATATTATAAAGAAATATTTATAAGACAAATATTTTACTATATATTTATTACTCCCAAAGTAGTATTATTATAGTTTTTACTATCCTATATTAAACTTGCTTGCACAAGTTTAATCTTGGACTCCGGAGCAAGTTCGTGTGTGATGGTGTAAATATAGCTGGGTGGGTTAACCGGGTTTGACCTGGACACACTCGACCCGTAATATAAAACACACAACAAGAATACAAAGTATGACCTAGACCGGGTAAATCTCCTCAGTCCGAATTATATTTCTTACTCTATCTCAAGAGTGAACTTTAGTGAGAGAAAAATTGGATCCCCTCCTCTATCCAATATCATCATATTTATAGAGGAGGATTTGTGACCTTCCCCTGTTCATCCATGGACAAAATAGGAAGCCCGTGGCAAGGTCACTGTACATAATCAATCTACTATTCAATCAATGAATTTAGCAACTACAAGCCAAGACATGTACTGTTCAATCAAAGACTATAAATGGATATTCTCAATCCAATCAGCCCTGCAAAATGACAAACATCCCTTTCACTGTGTGCCTCGTGACGAATGAGCGGCGGGGTGTCCCCTTAACCCCTAACGTGGTTCATCGTGCCTAAGAGACTGGACCAATGCAAGCAAAGTAACGTGTTATGACCGGTCACCTTTTCTCAAAGGTTACCCTGTCATTTCTTGAGCTCAGCCCGTCTCTTTTCCGGAATATCCTTCGTTACATAAGGTGATATTTTGGCTATCGCCAAAAATGTGACCGGTCACTTTTTTAGTGGAAGTGACTGGTCAACTTTTGACCCGTCCCAATTGAAGAGTTAACCTCATTTGGTGATTGATAAAAGTGACCGGTCATTATTTGACCTGTCCCTTTCGGTTGTCCGGGTTGGGTATAGGGATATACCCATCAAGAAGTCCTCCACTTACCGGCCTTGTGAGGAAATCATCAAGGGCGGGAAGTATACCTGCGTTGACCTATCACACTTGACCTGTCCTCTTATATCATCGGGTATTTTTTATGACCTGGCTCTTTTGAATTATCGAGCCTTTCCCTTTCAGACCTGTGCTTCTTTGAATTATCAGGCCTTTCGCTTCAGACCTGTCCTTTTCTGGAGTCAATCCTTAGGATCAGACCTGTCCATCTTTGGATCATACCCGACTGAATCACCAAGTCTTTCTATAAGACATACCCTCCTTTGGATCATCAAGTTTTTCTGACCTGTCCCTCTTTTGCATCTTCAAATAGCATATTCAGCCCTGTCCACTTTGAATCAATAAGCCATCTCATGACCTGTCATTTTTTGGATCCGTCGCTGCCCTGCCATCAATGACCTGTCCTTTTGGATCTGTGGTAGCCCAATCGCTGGGCCTAGCCTTTCGGTTAAGGAATTTCCCTCCAAAACCTTTCACCTTTCACATTCAAAATTCAAATTTTTCCCCTCATCATTACCTTATCCACGTGTCAGCCCCTCAGCCTCCCACCTGTCGCCTCGAACTCCAACCCTCCTCTCTCTCCTATAAATACCCCTCCAGCCCATCTCATTTCTTCACTTCTCCTCTTCGATCTTTCCACTTCAACCGGTCAGCTTTCTCTCTCTAGCTCTCTTCCAAGTAAGTGCTTCAGTCCTCCTAGTCTATCATTTCTTCCTTATTCTTGACCGGTAGGCTAGAGTCATGTCGTCCTCTGATAGCCAAAATGTGTCCGGTCAGTCTTATGGATCAGGCTCTCAGCCCTCTTCCTCTTTCCACTCTGAATCTTCTTCTCCCCCTGTCACTCCTTTGATTCGCCGCCCCTCTCACCAGTCTAGCTCCCAGGCCCGGGAAATAGTTGCCCAGGAGCCTACTCCTTTGAACCAATTGCCCGGTCGATTCAATCCCAAGGTCCTCAGTTGGGACCAATGGGAGGAACGACTGGGATCACTGGGCTTCCTAGCCCTTGATGTCAGACCGGTTTTCAAAGAGTCTTCTAGGGTCACAAAAAAGGTTCTGGCCGAGGTCCGTACCATCCTCCCACCGGGCTACAAAGTCCTTTCCAAAACCACCTGGCCCAACATCATTGAACCCCACCAGGGAACCCGGTTGGGTTTCCATGTTGCTTCCCTGGAGGGAGGTATTATTTTTCCTCTTCGCCCCTTCCTTATTGAAATCTGTAAGAAGTTTCATGTTTTGCCCGGTCAACTTACTCCAAACGCTCACCGGTTCTTAAATTGTTTTGTTAATATCTGTGAAAATATGAAAATCAACCCTTCCCTTGAGCTTTTCCTCCACATGTACGAAGTCTTTCCCGGGACTAGTAACTGCCCGGGCTTCGTCTATTTCCATTCCCGCAATAAGAGGGGGTTTGTGACCGGTCTTCCCCCCAGCCATAAGAGATGGAAACAAAGATTCGTTTTTATTGAGTTTCCATCTGACCAATTTCCTTTCACTAACCCTGAGTGGGCTGACCGGGTAATAAAACCTGAAAGGGTCCACCCGGAGCCTACCCCTGAGCTTGAGGATGCCTGCGAGAAACTTCTCAAGGGTGATCCTGTGACCAGTAAGCCATACGCCTACGGTGGATGGGTATACCGGTTACCTAACCCGGATGGGGATGTGTCTGCGACCCATGACGCAGGAGATGACCGGGCCAAATCCCCGGATGGTCATGCTAAGGGCAGTTCTCCTCATCCAGGTTAGTCACCTTTCTTCAAACTCTTTATCTTATATTTTCCTTAAGGTAAAATATCTAACCGGTTCCTTTGTTCTTTTTTGGCAGACATGAACTTCACCAGGATGTCCACTCACTTCGAAGAAAATGATGATGATGTCCAAGTCCTCCACTCCAACTGGTCTCCCAATCACAACCCTCCCTCCCCTCCTCAAAACCCTGGGATGGAAGGGGCTTCATCTGCCCGGTGCACTCCCCTTGACGATCTCATCCGAGATAAGAAGGTGAAGTCCCCTTCGGCCACCCATCTCTTCGAGGATGACCGGGTTGACTCTCTCCAGGCCCAGGTCGAATCCAAGTCTAAGGAGGCCGGCCATTCTTCTTCCCGTGCCAAGGGCCACAAAAGGAAAGGGTCCCAAAAGAGCTCCAAGGGGGACAAGAAGAAGAAGTTCAGGCTATCAGATAGGGAGGGGGAGTCAATCGAAGAAACCTTCCTAGCCCTGGCCAAAAAACTCAGCAAGGTATTAACTCTAATTCTCCTCCCGGTTCGTCTATTTCCTTTGCATTTATTGATACATCTCTTTTTTGAATTTACAGGCCAGGGTCATTTCAGAAGAGATTGGCCAAAGTCTTTTGGAGCCAAAAGACCAGGTCTCCCAACTCACCCTCCTCCTTGATTCTGCCAAGTTGGAGATCAATGACCGGGCAGAAAGGGAGAGGAGACTTGAGGAAGAGTTGAAGGAAGAAAGGGCCCGGTTTGCCCTTCTGGAGGAGGAAAGGAAGAGAAAGATCGCCGAGCTCGAGGATGCGCTGGGCCAGGCTGAAGAATCTGCCCGGGCAAAGGAGGAGGCCTTTCCCTTTGAAGCTGCTGACTGGGTTGCGCGCCATCACACGGAGGTTGCCCGGTCCCTTCTCACTACCCCGGAGGAAACCATGGACTTTTTCAAAGTCATGTATCAAGAGCCGGAGGGGAAGAGGATGAAAACGGAGATAGGGTCTTATGGATTCCAGTGTGGCCAGAAAGATGAGAGGTCTCTTCTTTATGCCAGACTTCTGAAGAGGGAGCCTTCCTTTGACCCGGCAAGATGAAGCTTGCAGTCCTCTACAAGGAAGAGCCAGCTCCCCCCTTTCCCTTAGAGTAGGTTAGGGTTTGAGTTCAGAAACTTTAAATTTTCCCAAGGCCTGGGGGATGTCCGGCCTACTTTTTAACCTATGTAACATTAAGTTTTCTTGGCTTGCCTTCAAGTTGCATGGTTGAATTTATTTCTTTCCCCTGATCATTGTTTGATTTCTTGCACGGTTGTTTTCCTTGCTTGATCCTGTTCTAGAAGTTGCACGGTCAGACTTGCCCTTATTTTATCATGCTGGGTTGAACTTCCAAGTCAATATTAATAGCCGGCCATATACATTAAGAATCGTTTAAAGATTGTCCAGGTCATTTCATGTCCTGGTCTTTAAAACATCCAGGTCTAATTGGCTTGGTTAATAGAAGTACCCGGCCCGGACATGATTAGATAACATCTTGAAAATGTCAAGGTCTGGTTGGCCCGGTTGTAATATTGAAAACGTCCAGGTCTCTTAAGTTTTCCAGGTTTCTAAGTCACAGCCTCCATTCTCATGTACTCCATGAAATGTCGAGGGCACCTCATGCTTGACTAGTCTTCTGGACCGGCTTGTGTCTATGTTGAACTGCAACAAACGTTCAGGTCATCTCATGTCCTCGTTTAGTAGGCCAGGTTGAAAGTTTTGAAGACCATTTTAGATGTAAGGCTTGAAAACTTCCAGGTCATCTCATGTCCTGGTCTCCAGAGTTGAAAACGTCCAGATATTGTAATCTTGAAAACGTCTGAGCCTTCTCATGTCCTGGTGTACTTTCAACAGTTTGGTCCGGTTACGTCTAGGTGCTGGGTCAAAAATATGACCGGTCAAAAATCGAAGATTTCTAGATTCGTCTGATTTCTTCGAATCCAACCCTTGGAAAAGTGACCGGTCACTTTTCTCAAAGTTGACCGGTCAAATTTTTTATTTTTCCAACAACCTTTTCTTGTCAATCCAGATTATTAAGAAGTGACCAGTCACTTTTGACCATGCCATTTTTCTTATATCCATCTGACCTGAATGTCATGCTCCACAGCTACCTTGATCGAATTTCAAACGAACATTCCAAAATGGTTTTCGTCTTAAGTGTCAACATCAAGACCCGATCTTTCTTCGGAGATTTTGACCATGTCCTATGATCGCGAACCCTCTCCAAGGTTCAGCCCTCTTCCAGGCAACACCCTTCTTCCAGGGCCCCTCTTCCAGGTTTTAAGTTTTTTAATGTGCCATTCTCTAATCATTAGGTTGACCTAGCCAACCCAATCTTCCCACGTGGGGGTATGCCGGTGAGAACCAGCCCTCATCCAATCCTACATGTCCATATGTTAAGCGTTTGAAGTGAATTCTAGTCTTCCCTAGACCCTTCAATCCGCAAAGGATGGCTCATGCAAGACGGTAAATTTTTTTTTACTTTGGCATCTTTTTGCCCCTATCCAAACGAAAATTTGGTAGGGATCCATGTAAGTATGGACGCGAGTCCTCTTCCAGACCCAGCCTATCTCAAGGCCATACCTCAACATCAAGGCCCCTATCTCAAGGGTTTATCTTCTTTTTTTTTGACCTTGCCTCTTACATCAAGACATTATTTTAGTATTACTGACCCAGCAACACAAGTATCGAAGAAATCTCTTATTTATCATCGAAGGGGTATTACAAATACATGCCCTGCCAATTTGGCCTATCGGTAGAATTTTCTAAGGTGGTGGGAATTCCAGCACCTTTCCAACTCTCGACCTTCCATTGTCTCTAACTTGTATGTCCCAGGGCGTAATATTTCCGTGACCCTATATGGGCCTTCCCATTTCTTTGCAAGTTTTCCCCCGTCTCCGGGTTTGCTGGCCTCCCTTCGTCTCAGGACTGTTGGAACACGGGTTTACGCCTATGTCGTACTAAGCCGTGTTCGTTTTATGACAGGTTTTGATAATGCCAAACCGCCGTGACAATAACAAGGTTAAACTAAGCAAAACCAAGGCGAAGGAACATGGCATGATGAACTGAGAACCAAGAACCAAGAATCAAGAACGAAGACTTAGAATTGTATTGAGTCGGTTTTAATGTGATCAAGACCGGCACAAACCTTCAAAACATGGCTCTCTAGGCTCATTTCATCAAAATATTTTTTGCATATTCAAAATGATTTTCTTAAGTCTTAAACCTGCCTGAAAACACTTGGAGTTCGCCCAAACCAAAAACCAAGCCATCCGGCGTTCGGCGGAAACCGGCGTTTGGCTTTCGGTTATCGGCATTGGTTTTTGGCGTTCGAACCAACCAAGTGGTTTTCAACTTTTATTTGATTAGTTTTTACTTCTGGGCATATTTAAATAGTTCTCCAACAAAAACGCTTCAAAAACCACCTTTCGTTTTTGGTCGTTTAGTGAAAACCATGCGAAACGGTGTAAACTTGGCTAGCCGTGGTTTTCAACTAAATGACGTGGTTTTCAAAATGTTTTACTTGATTTCTTAGCAAAATGAATTAAACAAACATTTTCAATTCTTGGTTTTTATTTTGGAGAACTTACATTTTTGACATCGGCTAACGGCTGACTAAACCAATCATGGGTCTGGCTAAGCCAGCCCAACAGCGATGTTGGTGTAACGAACAGCGCTGTCTGGATTGGGTAGCTGAAAACCATAGTTTGGCGTTAAGTCTTCCAAGAGCGATGTTGGATGTTAGACATTTCTGTTGAGCCAAGGTTGGATTTTCAGAAACTTCTAGAACAGCGATGTAGGCCTCCCTACAGCGCTGTCCAACCTAAGCCAAAAATATAGTGCATTGGCAGAAAGTTTCAGGACAGCGATGTTGACCCAGCAACAGCGCTGTCAGGCCAAAACTCCACCTTCAAAGTCAGACCTAAACAGCGATGTTCAAGTATTGAACAACGATGTAAGGACCTGACCGTTGGAAGGAATTTAAGGCTAAAACTTTCCTTGTTTGGAAGTCAACAGCCAAAACAGCGATGTAGGAGTATTGGACATCGCTGTTGGCATGACCGTTGCTTCCCAATTTTCACAACCAAACCTAGAACAGCGATGTCTAAGCCTAGGACAGCGCTGTCTAGAAGATTTTCAGCAGACCCAATTTTAATCAAATCCCCCAAATTGTGCCAATCACCCATTAAATGTTTTGATCCGTTGGAGCCTATTTTTCCACTATAAAATGGGGTGTTTGGGTCTGTTTTAAATATTACATAACTTCACAACCCCTATTCTTTCAATTGCATATTATTCATACATTATTCATAGCTTTTCGAGAGCCATTTTTGTGAAGTTCGTGTTGTGATCTTGAGCGTATTACTTTACTCATATTCACTCTTTTGAGAGAGCCTTGTTCTTGAGTGTTCTTAGTATTCATAGACATTAAGGGAAGTTTGTTTCCCTTGGTTGTACGAAGGAAATGTATTTTTCCTTCGGGTTGAAGTCTTGGAGTGTGGAATATCCGAGCAAGTGTATTGAGGCTCGTGGGACTCGAGTTCTCAGGTTGTAACGGTTTGTTAAGCACCCGTAAGCTTAACGGAAGTAGTGTAGCTCGAGAGAGTCTCTCGGGAGGCTGGATTAGCCACAAGTTGTGGTGAACCAGGGTAAAATCGGTGTGCCTCTTACTCTTCTCTTTACTTCTCGTTTATTCATTTTTTATTCCTGCGATTTTTGATCAAACGCTATTCACCCCCCCTCTAGCGTTAGTCTCTTATTCTAACAATTGGTATCAGAGCCTAACTCGCGTCCAAACTTAACCGTTTGAGAGTAAAGCGATCATGGGCTCTTCTTCTAGAAATCTCTATGNTGTTCATAGACATTAAGGGAAGTTTGTTTCCCTTGGTTGTACGAAGGAAAGGTATTTTTCCTTCGGGTTGAAGTCTTGGAGTGCGGTATCTCCGAGCAAGTGTATTGAGGCTCGTGGGACTCGAGTTCTCAGGTTGTAACGGTTTGTTAAGCACCCGTAAGCTTAACGGAAGTAGTGTAGCTCGAGAGAGTCTCTCGGGAGGCTGGATTAGCCACAAGTTGTGGTGAACCAGGGTAAAATCGGTGTGCCTCTTACTCTTCTCTTTACTTCTCGTTTATTCATTTTTTATTCCTGCGATTTTTGATCAAACGCTATTCACCCCCCCTCTAGCGTTAGTCTCTTATTCTAACAATTGGTATCAGAGCCTAACTCGCGTCCAAACTTAACCGTTTGAGAGTAAAGCGATCATGGGCTCTTCTTCTAGAAATCTCTATGCAGGAATTGGAGAAGGTCAATCAACTTCTAGGCCATCACTCTTTGATGGCACCAACTACTGTTATTGGAAGGAACGGATGAGAGTCTACATTCGTTCCACCAACTTCGAATTGTGGTTGGTGATCAAAAATGGCGAAGAAATCCCTATGAAGAAAGTGGGAGAAACCACGGTCCCAAAGACCGAAAACGAATTTGATGCCGAGGACATCAAAAAGGTCGAGAATTATGCAAAGGCAATAAACATGCTTTATTGTGCCGTAAATCTTGATGACTACCGCGAAATCTCTTGCTGCTCATCTTGATGACTACCGCGAAATCTTGTGGGATAAACTTGAGGTGACGTACGAAGGAACGGACCAAGTACGTGAAGCCAAGATCGACTTCCTCACCCAAGAGTATGAGATGTTTAGAATGAAGGAGCACGAAAACATCGACGACATGTTCGACCGATTCTCCAAGATAGTCAACGATCTTCATACTTTGAAGAAGACCTACACCGACAAGGATCTTGTGCGAAAGATCCTACGGAGCTTGACATCCGAATGGCGATCTAAGGCCGATTCCATCTATGAGTCAATCGGCACATCAAACGTCACCATCGACGGTTTAAGAGGTAATTTAAAAACGTATGAATCTACTATACTTAACCCGTATTTGAATGACCAGAGAAAAGGCATAGCATTAAAAGCCTCCAAAGAACCGAAAATGAATGACTCAAGCGATGATGAAGAAGTCAAGCTTGTCATGAAGAAGTTTTGCAAACTTCTAAGAAATAAAGAAAAGGTTGAGGATGGCCCTGTGTGCTATGGATGTGGTGAAGCCGGGCACATCAAGAACAAATGCCCGAAAAACGGAAGGAACACTCGCCGTTTCAAAAAGCACAGAGCATATATCTCATGGGGTGGCGACTCCGGCGACGAGTCAACTGATCAAGAAGAGGAGGAAGCCGCCAACCTCTGCCTCATGGCGCATGAAGATCAAATCGACGTCATTCAAGAGGTATGTACCATTTCTTCCGACTCTTATGCTTTTGAAGAAATGCAAGAAGCACTTCATGAGCTTTATGACGAATTTGTTAGCGCTTCTAAAACCAATAAATCACTAAAGAAACGTCTTTCAACCCTTGAAAATGATTTTGAAAAGCTGGAAAAAGATAATGAAAGGTTGAAACAAGAAAACAAATTTTATGGTAAAAGAAGCGCTGACAAACTAGAAAGTTCTTCAAGTGAATGTGAATCTTGCAAAATCTTAAAAGAAAAGGTTGCAAAACTTGAGAGTACGGTTAAGAAGTTTAATACCCCACACAAAGATCTTAATTTACTCCTTGACACTATGCATTTTTCTAAGGAAGGAATAGGTTTTGATAAAAATAAATCTAAAGTTAAAGAAAACGTTGAGGCACCATCTAGACAACCACCTAAGGCTCAACGTAAGAAACCTAAAAATCAGGATAATAGAAAACCTAGTCAATCTAAGGACACTAGACAACCTAGACTAAAACCTAGGAATGAAAATGTTCAAGGTAGACAACCTAAGAAAAATGATTTTGTGCATAATAATTTTTCTCAAAATAGGAGAAATAACATAAGGACACCTAAAAATGATTCTATTAAAAACATGCATAAAATATCCTTTTCTCAAAATAGGATGAATATGGTTAGACGACCACCTAGCTATTATCAACCTAGGCATATGTTCAACCCAAACGTAGTATGCCATTATTGCAATAGGGTAGGACATATTGCTCCCGTGTGTTTTACTAAACATAGGCATCTCACCTATAATGAAACACACAACATATTTGGTGCTAACGAGAAGAAATCCTTTAGAAAAGGATATTCGTATCATAAACCATCTCCACAGGCAAATGCACAAAAGAAACCTTACTATTTCTTCTACTTTGAAGAAAAGAAGAAAATCCACATTCCGTTACCGGAACCAACACAAATCACACCGAGATATCGGCATTCTGTTCAGGTAGACTGGAACCCGCCGACCATAAGACGACGGGTTGGCCAAGGTGGCTCGTTCACAAAATCAGGGGGAACCATGCAAACAGCGATGTAAGAAGCACAACATCGCTGTTCCTACAGCGCTGTCCAGGAGACCAACATCGCTGTTGAAGAAAACATTGTCAACCAACTTGGGACAACAGCGCTGTACCATACACCAACAACGCTGTCACAGGGAGTCTTCCTATTCTTTACACTTTATAAACATCGATGTAGCATATCTAAACATCGCTGTCTCCCTAAACACCATGTTTTCAAGCAAAACCAGAAAGTTTCTCAACAGCGATGTCCACCATTGCAACATCGCTGTTCATTTATACAGATTTTTTCTTCTCTATCGTAAACCAGCGATGTAGAGATACCCAACAACGCTGTTCTAATGGGTTCAAACCCTTACACAATTCCAGAATGATTTGGAACATCGCTGTAGGGAACCCAAGATCGCTGTCATTTGACACCTGTTTTTAAAACTTAACGCAGAACACCGCTGTACATAGGCCCAACAGCACTGTCCCAACAACGATGTTGCCTTTGGAACATCGCTGTTCAAACAGTTTTTTTAAAAAATATACCTGTTGGGCACTGAATTAAATGCCCCAACTGCCAGATTTTTGAATTTCTGAACGTTGGAAACCTAATCCTATATATATTTGGCCTCCTACTCACCTTCTTCTCACATCTAAACTCAATCTTCTTCAATCTCCTTGCATATTTTATCTTCTCTACCATTTTTTTCTTGAGATTTCTTCATCACCATGGGCAAGGACAAGAGCAGGGCTGCCACCTCCGGGGAATCAAAGTCCAAATCCCGGGCGCCTACGACATCCACCGAGGAACGCCTCTACTATGGCGACGGATCGTACCTCTGGTTTGATTCCGAGGAGGAACGCACCCGTTTTCTCACCTTCTTCTGTAAACGGGTTGTGGCTCCTCCACGGATCATCTCGGAGCGCTACCCGGAGCTGCAGGGCTACGACGACCTCGACGCGCAGCTTCATCAGGCCGGCCTTTGGCCTTTCGTCTCCCAGGCTCGGAAGGAGATCAACCCGGCGCTGATTCGGGTCTTCTACTCCAACCTCCGGCGTGAGGGAGACGTGCTCTATTCTCTTGTCAAGAGCACGCCGATAGAACTTTCAATTGAGCAGCTTGGGCGCATCGCCGGCCTCCCCTACCAAGGCGACAACGTCTCCCTCTATGGCGGAGAGGACTGGGTGCTCAACAACGAGGGCCTTATCCTCAACGAGCTTGGCATCACCGAGCTCATCCGCCATGCCTCGGGCCGCCCCAGCATCCACTCCGCTAACCCCGAAGGCCGTCTTCTTCTCTACATCGTGTCCCGAATCATCAAGCCCCGGAAGCATGGCCACACAATCATGTCCGGTGAGGACCTCAAAATCATCCATGCGATCATGCACTCGGCCCCAATCAATTGGGCAAAGTTTCTCATGATCAACATGACGATTGCCGCGTCCACCGACCACGATCCCCTCCTCCCGTACCCGTTCGTGGTGATGGACATCCTTGAACGGTTCAAGGTGACCACCACCGTTGGCCCACTCACAAAGGCCACGAAGATTTGGGCGATCAGCACCCAAACCTTCAAGAAGCGGTCGGACAACGCCGGACCTGCCACTGCCGTGCAACGGCCCCGTTCTGCTGCTGGCCCAGCCGAACCCCAGGCCCGGGCCAACCTTGCCTCCATTGCTGACTCCCTCAATCTGCTGCACTTCAAAGTTGATGGGATGGATGGCTACCTTGAAAGACTTGACGAGGCGGTCCAACGCCAAGGGTACGCCATGAACGCGTACTTCCAACGCGTTAACTACGTCCCCCCACCGTACCATGGCACGTTCTTTGGGCAGGTGTACGGTGACGAGGAAGAAGACGATGCCTCCTACGACCCGTGAAGCTCCCCGGACGAGGACGAGTTTGACAACGCCGTTGACGGTGATGAGATGGATGTCGACGACGACGAGGAGGAAACCGAAGACGAAGACTAGGACGCCCCTAGAATTTCTTTCTCTTTTATTTTAATTATCCTGTTTTTTTTAATGCTTCCGTTGTACTCCGCTATTTCCCTTTTTCAATAAATAAAAGTTATCCTCTATCTTTTTCTTAATGTCAAAAGGGGGAAGAAAAGGGTTATGCATACACTAAGGGGGAACGTCCCTAAAAACGGGATCGTTTGATTTTAATATGACAATTTCTTTTTTTAAGCACAAATTAAGGGGGAACTTTTTCACTCTTTTCAAAGACAAATATACCTTAGTATGCATATTCCCGTCTTGTTTGCCATTATCAAAAAGGGGGAAATTGTTGGAACACGGGTTTACGCCTATGTCGTACTAAGCCGTGTTCGTTTTATGACAGGTTTTGATAATGCCAAACCGCCGTGACAATAACAAGGTTAAACTAGGCAAAACCAAGGCGAAGGAACATGGCATGATGAACTGAGAACCAAGAACCAAGAATTAAGAACGAAGACTTAGAATTGTATTGAGTCGGTTTTAATGTGATCAAGACCGGCACAAACCTTCAAAACATGGCTCTCTACGCTCATTTCATCAAAATATTTTTTGCATATTCAAAATGACTTTCTTAAGTCTTAAACCTGCCTGAAAACACTTGGAGTTCGCCCAAACCAAAAACCAAGCCATCCGGCGTTCGGTCTTCGGAAACCGGCGTTCGGCTTTCGGTTATCGGCGTTGGTTTTTGGCGTTTGAACCAACCAAGTGGTTTTCAACTTTTAATGATTAGTTTTTATTTCTGGGCATATTTAAATATTTCTCCAACAAAAACGCTTCAAAAACCACCTTTAGTTTTTGGCCGTTTAGTGAAAACCATGCGAAACGGCGTAAACTTGGCTAGCCGTGGTTTTCAACTAAATGACGTGGTTTTCAAAATGTTTTACTTCATTTCTTAGAAAAATGCATTAAACAAACATTTTCAATTCTTGGTTTTTATTTTGGAGAACTTACATTTTTGACATCGGCTAACGGCTGACTAAACCAATCATGGGTCTGGTATTCCATCATTTAGCCTCAGCGACCATCCGCCTCTCTTCCAGCAAGTTTAGCTCTGCCAAATGGTCTTCCTCATTCTTTTTCTCCTCATAGACATTTTCCCGGAAGGTCATTATTTTTGCTTCGATGGGTAGTCTGGCCTCACACCCATATGTAAGGACAAAAGGTGTCTCCCCTGTGGCCCTTCTTGAAGTGATCCGGTAAGCCCAGATGATATGTGGCAACTCTTCTAACCAATTCGTTCCTGCCTCACCCAACCGCTTTTTGATCCCATCGACTATTGTGCGGTTCGCATTCTCCACATGGCCATTCCCTTGCGGGTAGGCCACGGAAGCTTTGTTGTGAGTAATCCCAAAGTCCTCCAAGTATTTGGTGAACCCTGGATTCCGAAATTGAGGCCCGTTATCCGTCACAATGTTTCGGGGTGGCCCGAACCGAGTGATGATGTTCTTCCAGACAAAGCGTTGGCACTGCTTGGTTGTGATGGTTGCATATGCCTCGGCCTCCACCCATTTTGTGAAGTAGTCGATAGCGACTATCACGTACTTCTTTCTCCCTTGTGCTTGAGGGAAGGCTCCAATGATGTCCATCCCAAACCTTGCGAATGGAATGATATTGGAAACTGGGTGGTAGTAGGTCGCAGGCCTTCCCGGAAACTTGTAGAATACCTGGAAAATCTTGCACTTCTGGACATATCTCTCGCAATCTTGGTTCATTGTAGGCCAGAAATAACCTAGCAAAATGATCTTTTGCGCGAGCGTCCTGGACATTTGGTGGGCGGCGCAGACACCCTCATGAACTTCAGCGATCACTCTTTCCGCCTCTGCCCTGGTCAAGCACCTTAGCAATGGACCACCAAATGCTCTTTTGTATAGCCTTCCCTCGAGCATTTGGAATCTTGGAGCCCTCAACTTTACTTTTCTCACCCTGTCCTCATCTTCAGGGAATTGCCCGGTCATGTAATACCTGACCAGATCATCCATCCAAATGTCATCTGGCTCCACTCGATCTGGATTGGCCTGTCCATCTTCTTCTATCACGCTAACAGAAAACCCTTCAATGCTGGCTTTCTCCAGCGTCTCAATCCTGGCCAGCTTGGACACATGCTCCGGGGCTGCTTGCGTCAACTTTGATAGTAAGTCAGCATCGGTGTTCTCCCCCCTAGGGATTTGCTCCATCACATACTCAGTCAGGTCCTTCAATAGTGCCCTTGCCAAGTCTCTGTATTTCTGCATCTTCTCTCCTTTGGCCTCTATGTTGCCATTGATGTGGCCTACCACCAAGCTTGAATCGGACTTGATCCTGAGGCATGTGATTTGTAGGGTTTTGGCCAATCTCAGGCCCCCTATCAACGCCTCATACTCGGCCTCATTGTTTGTGAGCTTGAAATTAAAAATCAAGGCATGATATACCTTAAACCCTTCCGGAGTTGTGAATACCACACCTCCCCCATAACCTTTTGGTCCAGAGGCTCCGTCGACCGACATGGACCACCAAAGCTCAGTGATGGCCCTGGCCGGTTCTTCTTCCTGGTGACCCGTCATCTCCACAAGAAAATCAGCCATAGCCTGCCCTTTTATCGCCGTCCTTGGACGATATTCAATGCTGAATTGGGTAAGCATCATGGCCCATTTGATCATTCTTCCTGATGAAGTAGAGTCCCTCATGACCGTGCCCAATGGTAGGTCAGTCAGAACGATGATGGGATGGGCCTGGAAGTAGGAGGTGAGTTTCTTTGCCGTTATGAATAGTGCATACGCTGCCTTCTCTGTGGGAGTATACCTACTTTCCGCCCCATTTAAGGCCTTGCTTACATAATAAATAGGCCTCTAGATCCCATCATCCCTCATCAAGACCGAGCTAATGGCCATCCGAGTTACCCCCAGGTAGACGTATAGGGTCTCCTTCGTTTCCGGCTTGGATAGGACGATATCCGAAGTCAGGTACGTCTTTAGCTCTTCGAATGCCCTGGCACATTCATCATCCCACTGGAAGGTATTGGCTTTCTTTAAAACCTTAAAGAAAGGCAAAGCCTTCTCTGCTGACCTGGACAAGAACCGGTTTAAGGCCGCCAAGCGCCCTGTTAACCGCTGGACATCCCTTACTGATGTTGGGGGTTGCATCTCAACAATGGCTTTGATCTTCTCAGGATTTGGCTCAATCCCCCTCTTCGTGACCATGAAGCCCAAGAACCTCCCCGTCCTCAGAGCAAAAACACACTTCTTCGGGTTAAGTCTAAGATTATGCCTAGCCATAATCTCAAAGCATTTTTTCAGGTCCTGAGCATGTGTGCCACTTGCCCTGCTCTTCACCAGCATATCATCGACATAGGCCTCCATGGTCCGTCCAAGCAAAGGCCTGAACAATTTGTTGACCATTCTATGGTAAGTTGCCCTTGAGTTTTTCAACCCAAAGGCCATCACCTTGTAACAGTATGTGCCGTCCGGAGTGAGGAAGGCCGTCTTCTCCTCATCATCCTCCGCCATGAAGATTTGATGATACCCCTTAAAGGCATCCATGAAGCTAAGCAGCTCACACCCGGCGGTTTCATCAACCATTTGGTCCGGGATAGGGAGAGGGTAAGAATCCATTGGACATGCCTTGTTGAGGTCTGTGTAGTCCACGCACATCCTCCAGGTATCACCTTTCGAGGCCAGGACAACATTGGCCAGCCATTCAGGGTAGTTTAATTCCCTGATATGACCTACCTCAAGTAGGTCCTTAACCTCCTTTTTCACAAAATCCCTCCTATCACTTGCCAAGAATCTTTTCTTCTGTCTTACAGGCCTAGACCCCTCAAGAACAGAGAGACGATGGCAAATGATTGACCGGTCAATTCCGGGCATATCAGCAACACTCCAGGCAAATAATGATTTATACCTGGTCAACACCTGGACAATCTCAGTCCTTAGCTCCTCCTGAAGATCAGCCCCAATTTTGACCTTCCTTTCAGGATTGGAGGCATCAATCTGGATCTCTTCCGTGTTTGCATCTGGCTCGATCCTAGCCTTCTCCTCAGCCTTGTCTACCTGCTGGGAGACCAGTTCAATTTGTTCGAACTGGCGGGTCATCTTCTTGACTGCTTCCAGGTAGCAGGACCGGGCGTTCTTTTGATCACCCCTTTCCTCCCCGATTCCATTGGGAGTGTAAAACTTCATGCATAAGTGTGCCATGGAAATAATAGCCCTGACCTGGTTGATTCCAAGCTTACCCAGAATGGCATTATGCACACATTTGATGTCGACCACAACAAATCTCATTTGTTTGGTCACTGTCCTGTTACCTGACCCCAAGGTAACCGGTAAGGTTATCTGACCTTCCGCTTCTATGCTAGCTCCAGTGAAGCCTCACAATGGAGTTTGCAATGGCCTCAACATGGACCTGTCAAGCTTCAATTTCTTGAAAGCATCCAAGTATAAAACATTGACACTGCTTCCTTTGTCAACCAGGACCCTGGCCACATCAGCCCCATTGATGTCCATTGTAATGACTAAAGGGTCATTATGATCTCCCCCCATCCTGGGCAGATCTCTATCAGTGAAAATGATAGGTTCCCTCATTGCCTGCTTTCCTTGTGATTCCAAGGAAACCACCGCTACGTGCAAGCTCCTGGCCCAATTCTTCCGCTGGGAGGCAGTGTCCCTATTAGCCACTTGTCAGGTGACAACAAATTAACCTATTCCCCAATTACTACACACTTATAAAAATGGTAGCAAAGTGGTAAGTAGGGTCATTCCTCCACAGAGAGATTTGTCTTCTATTATTTCTTCTCTTGATTTATTGCTCAGTTTCCACAACACACACACGCAAGGGGGGGGGGTTGTTCATAAGATGCTAATGCTACGTAATGAAAATAGATTTCAACAGAAACTATGAGAACAGATCAAAGAAGGAGAGAGAAGTTCAGGTAAAGGTTTGTGGATATCAAATGGAGTAACAGGCTTGTCTGGTGGAATTAGGAACATTTGCTCAGATCAAAGTAAAAAAATCAGATTCTCAGCTAAACAAGTTGTTGAACAAAAGTGATATTTAGCTCTCTCAGCAAGGAGCTAAATCTCCACCTCAAAAATCAGTCCTTAAGAGAGATGAGCACTGCCTAAGGACCTGTACCTACGTTAATAACTTCAGGATGAGCCTGATGCAAATTAACATAAGCATGAATTCAATTATAAAAATCCATTTGAACATACAATATACTTGGACAGCCAAATACACTATATGTCCGTTGTTGAACCCCAAATAAGAATTTCAGACTGAATAATTGAGGCATGAGACCTACAATCAACAGTTTTAAGAAGCTGAGCACAAAACAGGATTAAACAACCTTCAGCAACTGTCTAAACCTCAAATCATTGCAACGAACACAAATTCCTGAGAACTGATCCTAAATTTCCACCAAACAAGAGAGGGATTACTCTCGGGACATGATCATGATAATCGATTCACAATTCAAACACATGATCACAGGAAAATATTGTCCAAACAAGAGATTAGGACTCAGATTTGAATAGCACGAAATCACACGTTCAATTATGAATCAACAATTCAAACAATCCTCAATCATTAAAACTGTATCTCGAATTTGTAAACAAAAACAACGAAGTACCTATGGACAGCGTTTGAGGATCAAATCCTACGAACGTGATGACTCCTCTGTTCAGGTTCAGCACCTGATCGGGAGGAGCGCTTGGTGATTGTGTGATGAATGATGATGATCGCGAGGTCCAGCTCGCCGGATTATGCCTGGTCGCCGGAATTACTCTCCCGGTTTACTCTGCGATCTCACCTTCCCTCTCTCTCGTTCCTTTCTCCTCTCCGTCCTCGTCTCTCCCTCTCATGTCCTAAGTCTTATACTAACTAATGGGCCGGGTTGGTTATTTTCACTTTTGGGTCGTCTAGCCCGATTCTAACAATTAACCCAATGGACCTAAAATAACACAAGAATTGCACTCTAACCTCTAGGATGGTCAACGTTCTTTCTTGATCTTAAATTAAACCAAATTCTCACTAATGGTGACCCAAAGATTAGTAAATGTAAGGGAATTTAAAGACTAAAAAAAAGCCTAACAAAATCCCCCACACTTACTTCTTGGCCGTCCTCGGCCGAGTTGCAGAATGCAAGTATAGAAAGCTCATCATCTCATTTCTGTACGTACATTCCTCCTTTCTCTTACTCTAAAGTCCGACCAGATGACTAATGTAGAATTTTCAACCTTCCCAACTCAAATTGCACCAAAATCGCATGATGTAGTTTCCTTAGGAATGCTGACTGATTAAATTGAATCTAGAGTGGCTGACTTCTTTTTCATGAGAAGGTGATCCCACAATCCTTTTTGAATGAGGCCAAAGTCCCAATTGTCCTTACTGTTACTAAACTGCCCCTTTTCAACCCTCAAGTTACAATTTTCCAACTCCCATGTAACAGGATTTTTGGTCAAGCTACCCCAGGCCCATTCCAGATAGCCCGGGACTTAGATAATCAAGGTATCCCATGGACCTCACCCGAGAGAAAGAGAACTGATAAACTGAAAAATGTGTGGGAGTTTTGGGATTGAGTACGGCCCAAAACAGGGGTTTGCCCTTCCAATTGAACTCTGCTCCATACACATTTAGTTTCCTTTCGGAATCTGTTGCTTAAGGGGACAGAGATGCCGGGCCACCAATGCCAAGTCCAAAAGGTTTTTCCCACACACACTCAAGCTTAAGAGTCTAGAGAGGTAGCAAAAAACAGTTTGGGTTAGGACTTAATGACTCCACTCTAAAGGTTGCTATTTTAAGGGTGTTCTCCATCAGTAAAATCAACCAACCACCCTAAAATCCAACTCAAAACAGCCAGGCTAACAGTCATTAAAAAAAATCTGCACCAGAATTTTAGTGCAACTCAATTTGGGAGTTTGAAAGCTGCACACTGCTCAAATGGACATTCCAGAATAAGAGCCAGAAGCAATATTCATTCAGACATTATAAGAAGCATTTCCCTTCCTATACTTGGTCCTCCACAACTTAGCTGAGAATTGGAGACCATGATTGATGGTTTGGTTTAATCCCAAGTCCAGAATGAAGCACACACATCACTGAAGGTTAAAGGGAGCATGTAACCTACTGTGTCTAGAGGGAATGAGAATATGCTTACAACCTAAAGCCAACCAAGTCTACCCCCCCACACTTAAGGTATGGCACTGTCCTCAGTGCCATTGGTATGGTCAGGTCTGCCAATCACCAAATCACACCTCCTAACTAGCACATCACACCCTCCCCCACACTTTCCTTAAACTATAGGAAGTAGGGGACAGAGGTTCATCACTGGTTCCATAAGGGAACCAGCTTCCCTGTTCAATGCTGCAAGCACAGTCTACAAAGTCCATTATTACAAAGCAAAGTAAAAAGCAAAACACTGGGTTGCCTCCGAGGTAGCTGCCCTATTTAAAGTCCTTGGCCAGACTCTTTCTCAAAGTTCTTCAGACAGCTTCCAACCTCAAGCTGTCCACAACCTCCTCTTGTTGTCCCTCATGAAACAGTTTTAACCTGTGCCCATTCACTTTGAAACACTTGTTAGTAGCACAACTTCTAATGTCAACTGCACCATAATCATACACATGGACAACTGTAAAAGGACCTAGCCACTTAGACTTGAGCTTTCCAGGAAACATTTTCAGTTTTGAGTTAAACAAAAGTACCTTGTCACCAGTATGAAATTCTTTCTTTCTCAACTGAGAATCATGCCATATTTTTGTTTTTTCTTTGTATATGACTGAATTATCATAAGCTTCAAGTCTAAGTTGCTCTAATTCAACTAGCTGCAACAGCCTTTCTTGCCCACTAAGGTCAGACTCAAGATTCGCCTCTTTAATGGCCCAGAAGGACTTATGTTCCAATTCAACAGGAAGATGGCAAGCCTTTCCAAAAACTACCCTATAAGGGGACATGCCTAAAGGTGTCTTAAAGGCTGTCCTAATTGCCCACAGAGCATCTTCAATTCTCAAACTCCAGTCCTTCCTATCTGGCCTAACTACCTTTTCAAGGACTCTCTTGATTTCTCTGTTTGAAATTTCTGCCTGCCCATTACACTGAGGGTGATATCCAGTAGATACCCTTTGTGTAATGTGATACTTAGCACAGACAGCTGACATGGTCTTATTACAGAAATGAGTGCCCCTATCACTAATCAATGCTTTAGGTATGCCATACCTATTCAGGATGAGTTCTCTTAATTTTTTAACCACTGTTTGAGAGTTATCATCCCTAGTGGCCACTGCCTCTATCCATTTAGACAGATAATCAACAAAAACCAAGATGTATTGAAAACCATTTGAAGGAGGAAATGGTCCCATAAAATCCATACCCCAGATATCAAAAATCTCACAAACAAGGATGGAGGTTAAGGGCATTTGATCTCTTTTAGTTAAGGAACCTGTTTGCTGACACCTAGGGCAGTTTTTACAAAATTCAGCAGTGTCCTTAGACATGGTGGGCCAGAAAAAACCAGATTCAAGGATCTTATGAACAGTTCTTTTAATACCCAAATGTCCTCCAGACTCTAAAGTATGACAAAATTTTAGGATAGAGGGTACTTCATGATAATCCACACATCTCCTAATGAGTAAATCAGAACAGAATCTCCACAAAAATGGTTCTTCCCAGTAGTAATACCTTGACTGAGCTTTGAGTTTACATTTCTCAGCTTGTGGCATGCCTACTGGAAATTCTCCAGTAACCAAATAGTTAACCAACTCACTATACCAAGGCAACACTTTCACTGCATATA